TGATTTGATGAGATGTTGATAAAGATATGAATAAGCTGGAAGAGTATGATTTAAATGAATGATTCTTATGTAAAAGAGGAGTACATGAGAACAAGAATTAAGTGATTTGGCAAAGTATAGCTTGAGTTATGAATTTTTGAAGTTGAACATGCAAGATGAAGTTTATGTTCACTATGATTTTAAATTCCAATAACTTGATGTATATGCATGCTAAAAATTATGAAATTTTTATGACATGTCTAAATATGAGTTGAGAATATGACTGTTAAATTTCATGATTTAAAGTTGAGAAATGAATAAGTTGAGATAATTAGATGGCATATATGTAAAGATGAGTTTATATGCAAGAATATTCATTACTTGTTCAAGTTTTTAAAGTGAGATTATTATGAAATATTCTCATATAAGTGATGAGCAATTTGATAAAGTTTTAGTTTAATATACTGAGTATACAATTTTATAAAGATTGTTTTAAGTCTCACATATTAAGATCATAATTTAATGTTATGATTATATGAGTATTTAGTTGAGATTTAGTACCAAGTAAGTTTAAGATAAGTTTTATGAATCATGAATATGATGTTGGTAAAAGATAAGCATGTTTTGAGTTCATGTATTCAATCAAGTTTAATGTGAAATTTAGTTATTTTCACATTCGAGTTATTTAAGTGACATGCGAGTATAAACCAATATCTATGATTTTGAAGACATGATTTATTTAAGGTTAAGTAAATAACCTCGAGTAAAAGTTAAGAAAAAGTTAAGATGTTTGATGACTTAATATTTATTTAAGACATATTAAACTTATTGAATATCTTTAAGATTCGTATAAGTAAGAGTAAATTCTTATTGAGTATACAAGCATAGTACTTAGTATATTTGTTTATATTTTTATGTAGCTTGCAGATACAGCTACAGAACAACACTTACAATTTTCAAAAGAAGAAAGGTGGGGACCCAGAGTGGATAATACATTGAGTACGGTATTGATATCATACGCTTGGGATGAGTAGGCATTCAGTTGCCTTAGAGCATATCCTAAGTTCTGATACAGTTTATATGCTTGGGATGAGGAGGCATTCAGTTGTCTCAGAGTATATCCTAAAGTTCTGATGGAGGCCGTTTGAGTTGCCTTGAGAAATATCCATCAGAGTGTGCACATGTATTAAGATCAGACCAGTTTAAAGTTTAAGTTTAAGATACCGGGAGAGAAGTATCGGTTAAAGTTATCGGTCAGATACCGAGTTTATGATTATCTTTACGCAGTAATCACCCCCATGAGTTTATTTCAGGTAACAGGTTAAGGAGGAGGTGTGAGTGGAGCAGTGTTGGTGTGGATCGTGGATTCAGATTGTGACAAGTTTTTATATGGACATTTAAAACAGTCTGTATAATTAATAACGTTTTCAAGTATTTCTGCTATGCATATTAAGATTTGACTTTGCATTTTAATAAATTTTAGATTTCAAGTTTTTATCATTCAGAAGTATGAATATGGTACAGTTTAATGCAAGTTAAATAAATCTATTTTCTTTATGTCTAAAAAAGTATTAGACAAAGTTTAAAGATAAACAGATTTTCAAGAAGATGATGTTGAGTAGCATCCCGAGTTATTCGCAAAAGATTTCAAAAGATTTATAAGTATTTTCAAAGTAAAAGTTGCGAAAAAGTTACTCTAATAAGCGGGGTGTTACACTGCACATTGGTCAAAATCACTTTTTGAGGAAAAACCAAAGTGTGACATCTTGTTGAATAACTTGTGTGAGAGTTTTCATGCATGCATTGTTGATGCTAGAGAGGAACCCGTATTGACTATGCTTGAATGGATCAGAATGTACTTGGTGAAAAGGTTGCAAAGGAACAGGGATAGGGCAGAGTTTAGATGGAAAGGGAATGTGTGTCCAAAGATCATTAAGACAGTGGAGGCTAATATGGCAAAATTAGGTGACTGCATGCCTATGAAAAGTGACAACACTCACTATCAAGTAGAGTGTTATGGTGGAGGTCAGTATGTGGTAGACTTGGAAAAAAAAAAAACTTGGACATGTAGGTTGTGGGACTTGAGTGGGATACCATGCAAGCATGCATGTAGTGCAACTGTATCTCAGAAGGGAAATGCAGTTGATTATGTGCATGACTACTACAGTGTGGAAACATATAAAAAAGTTTACAAACCAGCCATCCTAGGTATTAACTGTCAGATACTGTGGAACCAAACCCATTTCATTCCACCTTTACCTCCCACATTTGGGAGAGGTGCAGGTAGGCCTAAGAATGCAAGAAGGATTGATCCTGATGAGAAAGGAAGAAAAAGACAGAAAATGAAGGCAAAGATTCAAATGAAGATAAAGAGGCAGTAGACAAGTTTGAAATGTGGAAAATGTGGCATTGTGGGTCACAATGCCAGATCTTGTGGCAAGAAATCCCTTTCTGAAACCAAGAAGGATCAGAGCCCACTAGCTTAAGCAAGCCGGTCAATTGTAAGCAAAATTACATATTTTATGTATACTATGACTTAATTTTCAATTTTGTTATTTATTGTTAAAAAGATGTGTTTACTTATTTATGTTTCCATAATTTTGCAGTTGCAAATTAAGAGGGCTAATGCTGCAAGACAGGAGAAAGCAGCTAAGGCTGCTGCAACAAAAGAGGCCAAAAACAAAGAAAGGGAATCAAAGAAACAGAAACAAGGTTCTGTCAGCCTTGATAAGCAGGTGGTACTTTACTCATTTTTATTTTTATTTCATTTAATTACATTATTAACAAATGTGTCTGATGAACAACTTGTTGTTTCTTGAACAGAAACAAGGCTCCACCTCCACCATAGAGAAAGAGGTATTACTTACTTTGTTAATTTTCTTTGTAATTCATTTGTGTAATGGTCACTGTCAAAAAATGGTGCCATGAGTGTGTTTTTTGTTGAATAGAAAGAAGGCCCAAGCATGGCACCACCTGCTCCATTTGTAGAAGAAACTGACTGGGATGATGAGGGCTTTGTGTCACAACTGACACAAGAGTTTTGTGCAACTCCACAGCCTGAGATGACAAAGGGACCCACACCACTTGAACAACTGAAAATGGGATTAGGAGATGATTCATATTTTAGAGGTAAACAGTTGGAGGCCATCACTGCAAGAGATGGAACTCCAGCAATGTTTGAAAGGATTCAAAACTTCTCTTTGGGTAGCTCATCTCATGATTTGAAGCAGATCAAAAAGGAGAAGGGAGAAAATTCTAGAAAGAAGTGAATTTCAGTTGATTTGGTGGTTGTAAAACACTTGCAGGATATTGTTTATTTTGTTGGGAAACTGAATGGCAGGATATTGTTAGATTTTTATTGGATATTGTTAATTTTGCTGTGTTTTTGTTTAGTTAATGGAACACATAAGTTGTGATGGTTATGAAAAGTTCATGTTCTACCTTTGAGTTTGTTTGTGTTTGAGTTGTGATGGAACACATAAGTTGTGCAGTTTGAAATGTTCAAAACTTCTTTATGTTGAGTTTGAATTGTTCAGATTGAAAAGTTCACAATTTCTTTATGTTCAGATATGCAGTTTAGTTGTGCAGTTGAGTTGTGATGGTTCTGATGGTTGTGACCAGTCTGAATTAGTTGTGATGGTTATGAATAGTTCATGTTCACACTTATTTATGCAGTTTAGTTGACAATGAAATGGTTGAGTTGTGTAGTTGAGTTTTGTTTGAGGTTTAATAGTGTAGTTCCAAAATCAAGGGAGACAATTCTAGAAACTAAAGGAATTTTCATTGAAACCACAAGTGCATTACATACCGATGTTCCAAAATAAGGTACACACAAAATACAAGAGTACATAGAAGATTACAAGAGAAAATAAACACATTACACAACCTTCTTCAATCCATAGCCTTCACCTAATTCTATACACCAAAAATACACACAACAAAGTTGCTATAGCCAATGCAAACCACATTTTCATCTCCATTTTTTCTTTCTTTTCAACCAATCTCTTGTTCAATGCTTGCAACTTTTCAACTTTTTTCTGCAATTTTTCAATTTTCTCCTCCAATTTTTCAACCTTCTCCTCCAATTTGGTATTCTCAAAATTTAAGTTTTCATTTGCTCTCTCCAGTGCCTTCATCTTCTTCAATAACCCAGGCATGATTTTTTCAGACCGGTCACAGGTAGGAAGGTCGACCCAAGAGAAAAAATTGCAGCCCCCATTCTATACATTAAC